TTTGTTTTTCAATGCAGCGTAGTATTCCATTGTGCGAATATACCACAGCTTCTCTATCCATTCGTTTGTTGATGGCACCTGTTTCCAGCTCCTTGCTATTGTGGACAAAGCCACGATAAACATGGGTGTGCATATATCTGCTTGGATGTCAGTTATGTTCTCTTTAGGGTATATTCCCAGTAGTGGAATTGCTGGGTCAAATGGTATCTCTATTTGCAACTTTTTTCAAGGAGAAGAACTAACTCGGGATGGGGGTGGGGTGGGCGGGGAGAAAAGTGCAACAGTGAATGAATGGAAATCCAAAATCTCTGTAAATGTTCATTGAAATTAATTTTTTTTTAAAAAAAGAAGACCTACTAACAATCAATATGGCATTCCCCCCCCAAAGAATGTGTTAGCATTTGTTAAAAAAAAAGTCTATATGGGTAACATCTTATGTACACTAGTCACTTAAAGATAAGCCAGGTCCATATGTACGTGCGACCTTAAAGGGTTCCTGTGAATAGAAGGCAACCTGGTTTGTTATTTTAAGAATCCAGACCATAACTGACATCCAAGTAGATACATGCACACCCGTGTTTATCACGGCTTTGTTCACAATAGCAAGGAGTTGGAAACAATCTAAGTGCCCATCAACAAATGAATGGATAGAGAAGGTGTGGTATATTCACACAATGGAATACTATGCTGCATTGAAAAACACGGAACTCATGCAATACGATTCAAAATGGTTGACTCTGGAGAACATTATGCTGAGTGAGGTATCCCAGTCACAAAAGAACAAATATTACATGGTGCTACTGTTGAAAAGAGGACTGACCTTGGGGTTGGGGAGAGACTGAGGAAGATCGCTTCAATAATGTATACTGCACTGAAACAGATGAGGGAGAAAACTGTTTAAAAGAGATATGTGATTAGGTATTTCTGTCATGACAGGAGTCTAAAGCTAAGGCTACATGGTGGAGTGGACCTGGGGGAGGGCTTGTAAAACAATGAAAGACTTTTTCTTTTACTTTTCCAAGAGGGTGGTGTTCTGGGGGGAGGCTTGGGAG